CTAGGATGAAGGCCTTGTGTTGAAACTGTATCACCCCGCTTCTCAAAACAACACACCACTGTCTAGGATCAGCTGTGATGTTTTTCACAGCATATTTACAATTATTAGCCCAAATCCTTACACTGTTACTCTTGTTAAATCCCAGAATGATGGCTGTTATGGTTTTTTTTAATCAGTTAATGACCAGACCAGACAGATTTAACACTAGGATAATTGTGTCAAGGCAGTGACGCGCACATCCATCTTCTCTGTCTGAATCGATGGAGGAAAAGAAAGCATCCTTAAAATACTTATAATAAGCCTTTATACTGTATGTTCATGGAAAAATGAAGGATGACACATATTTTCATAACATTTTAGGAGACATTAGCGGTAAAGATATATCAGTCATGTAAATATTGTCTCCTCCATCTTGCTTCCCCTGCCGCACCTCAAAGACAGGCCGCGTAAACATAAACGGGACAAACACAAAATCATCCAACACTGCGTCAGAAAGGAGTTCAACATTCATCATTTAAGCATAAATGACATCAACATCTTGAATAAGATCATATGTTTTCCTACTCGATTCGGGGTGTTTTTTAAGAGATGGACTTGATTATTGAAACATAATTGTTGACAGAGGCGGAATCAAATACCCTGACGCAGCGTCGTTACGCGTACAAAAGGCCTCATAATCACACACAAATACCGTCCTCACCGAAGCGTGACACCCATCAATACCGAAAGAAAAACCTTTCAGAGGAGCAGTGTCTTACCTCAACTCAGACTCGACGACCGCAGAGGGTGAATCCTCTGCCCATCAAAACAGCGCCCGGATGCTCCGGTGCCTCCTCCTCGGATCTCCTCAGCAGCTTGGATTTTTCTCCGTCTTTGCTCAGCCTACAACCTGTCCTCTCCGCTTCCATACATGGAGAATCCGTGAGGAAGGAGATTCAGCCTCAGCTTCAGCAGCAGCAGCAGCGCTGGGTGCGTCAATCGAGACTGTGCTGAGAGGCAGGAGGAGGAGGAGGAGGAGTCAGGGCCGGGTGGATCAGCGAGAGGAAGGGTGCGGGATGCTTCAGCGGCCCGCCGTCGGTCTGTCCGTCAGTCGTTCTGGAAGCAGGGAAAATGGCGGTGCTGCTGTGGCGGATGCTGGGAAGCGGCGGTGACATCATCAGCATCATCAGCAGCAACCATGAGGCATCGCGATGCAGGGACACAGCGGGGGTGGGAGGGGGCGAGGGGGGTTGAGGCCCATGGCTAGACCTTTGTAAGCCTTGGAGAGTTTAGTGCGTGTAAATGTCAAATAACAGGTATCTCTGAGATTGATTGTTTGTTTTTTTAATAGGGAGACTAATAAACTAATAAAGTGTTCTGATAACTTGTAGTTAAAACATGACGACAAGTGGAGTGCTCATTTGCATGAAACTGATCATTGATCAAATAAAACGTTTACATATTAAAATAAAATGTTTTACAAAAGGAATATATGCTATCACAAAAAATATATGTTACCTTTATTTAACCAGGATATGTCTCATTGTGATTACAATCTATTTTTCAAGAGAGTCCTGGCCCAAGATAGGTAACAGCACAGTTACAGACAATTTTAAAACATAAAATCACATCACAGTCATACAACAAGTTAGCCAACGTATTTACAGCCACAGCAGCCTGCTTCAAGGTCATTTAAAGTCGCTTGGAGTCAGTTTGTATAACTGTCAACAGCACAGTGTGTTTTGTCATTTCTTTAGGAATACAATTGTATAAGAGGATAATACATGAACATACAGTTGCAAGAAAAAGTATGTGAACCCTTTGGAATTACCTGGATTTCTGCATAAATTGGTCATAACATGTGTTCTGATCTTCATCTAAGTCACAACAATAGACAAACACAGTCTGCTTAAACTAATACCACACAAACAATTATATGTGTTCATGTTTTTATTGAACACACCATGTAAACATTCACAATGCAGGGTGGACAAAGTATGTGAAACCCTAGGCTAAAGACTTCTTCAAGAGCTAATTGGAGTCAGGAGTCAGCCAACCTGGAGTCCAATCAATGAGACGAGATTGGAGGTGTTGGTGAAAGCTGCCCTGCCCTATAAAAAATACACACCAAGAGCACAGCGCAGAATGCTCAATGAGGTGAAGAAGAATCCTAGAGTGTCAGCTAGAGAAATCTCTGGCACATGCTAACATCTCTGTTGACGAATCTACGATACGTAAAACACTGAACAAGCATGGAGTTCATGGGAGGACACCACGGAGGAAGCCACTGCTGTCCAGAAAAAACATTGCTGCACGTTTGAAGTTTGCAAAAGAGCACCTGGATGTTCCACAGCACTACTGGCAAAATATTCTGTGGACAGATGAAACCAAAGTTGAGTTGTTTGGAAGGAACACACAACGCTATGTGTGGAGAATCCAAATAGTTCACATACTTTTTCTTGCAACTGTATAGGCCTCAATAACAACGTTCTCAATATACTGTATGTAGGAATGAACTGGAAAGCCTGGTTTATGCATGTGCTGCTGAAGGATTCAATACAGTTGAGCAAGGTACAATTATAAGTCTGCATCTGCATCATGTTGCACTTTTTAAACCAACAGCAGCACCGGAGATAATGCGCATGCTTTCACCTCTCAGCCTCAACCTGACTCAGCAAATGCATTGTGAGGAGGATCAAAATCAATTAAGCATTTTAAATTAAAGTTTGGCAAAAGTTTTTTTAACTGAATGTGCCAGTCACAGGCTATGGAACAAGGGAGTAAGTGGCAAAGTACTTTTTCTTTTTGACAATTATTTTCTAAATACAGCATAGGCCTATTTTGTTATACGAAGAGCCCATTTCTCAAGCATCTTTAATGAGAATATGTGCACATTTTATAATAACTGGTTAAGTAAAACATATTTCTGATAATGTCCTACCAGGATTTAGTATTAAATAAGAAATCAATATATCTGTGGACACGTGGGGTTAAGGTCTTAGTTCATCCACAGTTATTTGTATTTACATTGTAAAAAATTAGGATTAGAAATGAAGATAAGAACACTGTTCTGTCTTTTAAACTTGGATGAACTGGCCATGGCCTTGTACATAAACTGAGAGCTTATGGCGTCATTCATGACAGTTTCATAACGCCCCCTGTGGATGAACTTGTATTGTCTTTATCTTTCTCTTCCTCTTTCCGTGTCCCTCCCAGCTCTTCCTCCTGCTCTGTTTGGGTAGATTTTGAATGTTACGTTCAGTGCAAAGGCCAATATGAGGAAAACATTGAGTCCAAATCTATTTGCCAGAGGTATAATTATTTACCCAGACCCAGAGAGGGGCCCCTGTTGGCTGTGACACAACAACAGTTACAGTTACACGAGATTATACTCAGTTACTGACAATACGTTTTTGGAGCAAAACTTAGCTTTTGTTTTCTTTGTTAGTGTAAATATTTCACCTCAATGGTTTGTCTGTGTCAGTTTAACCTCTTTCAATCTTTAATATTCCCTAAAACATGATTTCAATGATTGAACAACTGAAGAAGAACTGGATGACATTGTAGTTTACATAATGTGAAAGTAATTGCTGTTTGCTGTTAATTTGAGATAAAAACTACTTGTGAATACTCTTACCAGCTACAACAACAATCCTATACCATTAATAATACTCCCCATTCCGGTTACTCATCTCTGTGTGCACCTGGCACTAAAATGATGTAAAAGTGTTACATAATCCCAGCAGAGCAGCTCAGACACAACACGCTTCGATCACTCAGAAGTGGTCAGAGGTTAACAAAGAAATCTGATTTTACTGTATTTATGCACTCTGCATATTCTACCAAATCCTGTTTGTGTTGCAAAATGTATTATGATTCATCACAAAACTTGAACATGAGATTCATTCTGATGCCTGTTGACCCGTTGATGACCTGACACCCGAATCAGGTGAATAAAGACACCTATGTGGGTAAAAAACGTTTCAGACCCTTGTGTGACATTTATTTTGAGTGTGAAAAAAAAAAAACTCTAATTTGAATGAGAATAAATAACAAAGTGAATGGGGATGCTTTTAAATCTTACCTCACAAAAAACATTAAACATATATGTAGATGATTTGCACGATAGATAATAACTTTGTGTGTGTGTGTGTGTGTGTGTGTGTGTGTGTGTGTGTGTGTGTGTGTGTGTGTGTGTGTGTGTGTGTGTGTGTGTGTCCTTCTCTGAGAGAGTAGATTGGCTCTCTGAGAGGAGACTCCTCTTGGCAAAAGCAGTGTTGGCTCAGTCAGAATCAACAAACCACCTGCATCTGACCTGAACCAGTTCTGTCTGCATGTCCTAACTTTCCACAAATGTCCAACAGTCATGGAGATCAAGTCCAATAAGTCACAAAAACAGTTGTGGTGGATCAAAACTGTAAGAAAGAATGTCAACACGCACTGGAGAGTGTTCGCATTGGCAACACTTTTCTTACATTTTGAACTATTTCCTAGATGTATGACCTTACTTTATACTCTAAAAATCCATTAAATATTTATACTGATGGAATAAATGTTTAGGTACCAATTAGTTTGGTTAAAGTTTCTTTCTAGGGTCTTTGTCTTCTCTTGGGTTGATAGTCTGGTGTTTAGTTTGTAAATGTTAGTGTTTATTACTTGCAATTTTCCAATGAACACAATGTGTTTCTTATAAATATTAAATATTCTAGCCCACTTTCTTTTCTCTTACTTCAAAAGTCTTACCAATGTTCCCCATTTCACATATCTCCAATATTTATGATTACCTGTATTTTAAATATGTTTGAATTAACCAAAACGAAACCAACATAACGATGCATGTACAAAATTATGAAATCATTTAATTTGTCTTGAATACATTTTAAATTTGGACGCTTGACACTTGGCTGGATAAAAAAATATTTCATAACATGATTTTGTATTTTGTTTACCATTGTGTCTCCCAGCCTGAACTAAAGGGCAGGGTTAGCTGTGAGGGGAGGCACACCGCCCCTTGGCCAACAGGTCAAATACCTGTTTGTTTTAAATATGTACTTGAAACTCCTGGTCAGGTTCATTCCCTCAGTCACTCAGAGCAGGCTCTCAGGAACCAGCAGCAGTCATGCAGCGGGCTTTGTTCAGCCGGAGCGCGCTGCTCGCCCAGCAGGCAGCAGCGGCCCTCGATGGTCCGTTGGCCGCCAGGAGCGCGCCTCTGCTGCTCAGACTGGACCGCTCCATGTCCTCCGTTTCCATCCCGCCGCCGGCATGCATGCTCCGGCCGCTGGAGGTTCCACTGCGTTACCTGTTCGGACCTGGACCCTCAAACGTTCCTCCACGTATTTTAGCCGCACAAGGCAGGCCGATTATCGGTCACCTACATCCAGAAATGTATGAGGTAAATGCTTTGTTTGAACATCTCAATAGTATACAGAATTCATTTAGTATTGTTACATTTTAAAAGTGTGCACACTTGCTGATTAATTAGGGTAAAGGACAACTTGCGAAATATTTTCTTAACCACAGAAATATTAGTTTTATTAGAATAAATTAAAGTTGAAGGTTTGTTTACACATATATATATATATACATTCTTCAGATTTTATTATAAAAGTTATCAAATACATATTTGCATAATATCCCAAATCAATGGCAATTGCACTGCAATTACTTCAGTGATTGGTAACAATAACTGACTAATTAAATGCTAAACGAGATTTCAAACTTTGTATTGTCTCCGCCAGATCATGAATGACATCAAGCGAGGGATCCAATACATATTTCAGACAGAGAACAACATGACTATAGCTATGAGCGGCTCTGGGCACGCGGCCATGGAGTGTGCAGTGTTCAACACGGTGGAGCCGGGGGAGAGCGTACTTGTTGGCGTCAACGGTATCTGGGGAGAGCGCGTCGCAGAAATTGCAGAAAGAATGGGTACGTCTTTACGCAAGGTTCCACGCACGCGTCAATTGGGTCTCCAAAGAAGATAGACATACGTGTACACGGATTGTGCACTCTAGCATTATACCATGCATTCCTCTACCTATATCTCTTTCTATTGGTGGAAAGTAACAAAGTACATTTACTCAAGTACTGTGATTAAGTTAGGTGTTAAAGTACTTTAATCTAATAATGTCCATGTTCTGTTACTTTATACTTCACTACAACTGAAGCAAAAATTAAGTAAATATGATATAGTACAAATATGTGTTTTTTTATCAAGATTAATATTACAAACATATTAAAATTATCCATGATGATATATTATGAAAACTATCCATAGTATTTCAAGTAATTAGAGTGAGCTCCAGCTTTAGTTGCAAAAATAAAGTGATACGGACATTAATGCATAAATTACATGATATACATATTTTGAAATACAAATAATATAAAAAATATAATATATTATCCTGCAAACTTTTGAATACACTGATAGACATAAACTGTATAGTACAACTTTAATTTAGGTGGATTATCTGATTACTTCTTTCACCTTTCTTTCATTCTATCCATTACAGATTATGACATTTGTTTTTACACTTTTAGGTGCCAATGTACATAGAATGGTAAAAGCACCTGGAGGATATTTCAGCAATAAGGAAATTGAACAGGTAGGCACTATCATTTACTAAAGCTAGAATAAACCACTACACAAATGTCTAATACCTCAACCAGAACTTGTATGTGACTTGTACAAGTAACAAGAACACGTATGCGATTAAACTCACTTCTACATCTTTCTGTAGGCTGTAGAAAAACACAAGCCTGTCCTGTTTTTCCTCACACATGGAGAGTCCTCCGCTGGCCTCTGTCACCCAGTAGACGGCATTGGAGACATTTGCAGAAAGTAAGCCTCCTAAAGTATCTGCCTGAACATACACTTTCATAAAATGACCACATCAAATATAATATTTCCCCTATACTGTCCTCTCTCCCCCAGACATAACTGCCTCTTCCTGGTTGACACAGTCGCATCTCTTGGTGCAGCACCAATTTTTATGGACAAGCAAAGTAAGACTATAAAATAAATAAAACAATGAATAACATCAGATCACATTCTGTCAGCTGCTACAATGTGCTTGTGTGTGATGTAATCTGCCTCTTGTGCTTCCAGATATTGACATCCTGTACACTGGTTCTCAGAAGGCTCTGAACGCGCCTCCTGGCACAGCACCCATCTCCTTTAATGACAGAGCATGGTGAGGGGGGGCTTTCTGCATGCATCTGTCCATTTGAGAGATACATTTCTGCCACTGCAAGGATTATTAGAGTTAGACCATTCATGTATCTATTTGTCTCCCTGTTACCCCTCAAAGCCACAAGATGTTTAACAGGAAAACAAAACCAGTATCCTACCTCTTCGACATGACATGTCTGTCCAACTACTGGGGTTGTGATGGCCAACCAGCCAGACTGTAAGTCCACAACGGTTGCATGTCACCTAAAACCATATTTTAACTTAAAGTATTATTATGAAACTGTTTTTGGTTGGCTCTGGGTTTTAGATACCACCACACCGGTCCAGTGTCTGGATTATTTGCCCTGAGAGAGAGTCTGGCCATTGTTGCTGAGAAGGTAAAGGGAAATTAAATACATTTCTTTGTTTATGTGATCTAAAATGTATTTACGTAGGCCTACACTATATTTGTCTTAAGCCAGTTTGTTACAGATACAAATTCTGGGCTGTGATAGGGGCATACCATGCTCTTTATTTATTTTCATTAAAAAAATAAAACTTTAAGGGAGATAATAAAACTATAATAGCAAAAACAGAGCAAAATATCAATAAAAAAAGGAGGTTATTCATGTCTGAAAAAAGGAGTAGAATAAAAAGGTAGTATTTATCAAATCCTGCCTTTTTTAATATATTGTAAAATGTGATATAGAAGTTGTGTTTTCATTTAGCTAGAAAAAGCACACAGCCTCTATTAATGCAGTAGTTTGGCCTTGGCAGTGTCTCTAACTTCTGGTCTGATTCTCACGTACTTCCATTGATCTTTGTCTCCCTCTAGGGGCTGGAGGAGTCCTGGAAGAAGCACAAGGAGGTGGCAGCCTACCTTTACAGGGGCCTGGAGGACCTGGGCCTCAAGCTCTTCATCCCTGATATGGTGATACAGACAACAACAACAAAACGACATTCTGGATATAAAACGCTAAAGAATATAGATACGAAAAATCATTTTGGAGCTCTGTATATCAGTGCACTACATCTGACAGTTATGTTGTATCCTGCAGGACCTGAGGCTTCCCTCTGTCACCACCATCGCCATCCCTGAAGGCTACAACTGGAGGGAGCTGCTGGCATACATCATGAAACACCACCAGATGGAGATGACTGGGGGCCTGGGTCCTTCAATGGGCATGGTGGGTGCTTGCTGTCAATATGTTAACCCTGTACAGTTGACAGACACATGTATGCCTTTGACATTGTAGTCATTATCAGCTGACCTGTAGATTGTAGATGTGAACAATAATCTCAGCATCTTTGCATCAGGTTACTCTAAAAAGATAAATATTTCTCCCCAAATAAACATAACCAGGGATATAGTCTCATTCAGAATACTCTAATCAAGTAAACATTAAGATCAAACCACATTCAACAGTTATAGCAAGCAATGTTGTCAGCAGTTTGTAGCCTTTACAGCTTTCTGAGTCATGCTGCTGGGTCATTTTAATGCATTTTCTACCTCTCGTTTCATTAGGTGATGAGGATTGGATTGATGGGATACAACTGTGAGAAGACTAATGCTGACATGGCACTGCATGCCCTGGCAGACGCTCTGAAGAACTGCAGAAAGAGCAAGGCTTAAGAGACCGTTCTCCACTCACCCTGTACTCATTCATTAAGGAATAAAACATTAAGTGTCCCGAAAACGCTAGAAACCTGGAACAGCGCATCGGTTCTGCATGTGTCTGTGCTTTTGACGGTATGAGATTGTATGAAACCTAAGGCAATGGGCCTTTCGTAAGTACACTAGTTTAGAAATAAAGAAGCAGATGTTTTCATTTATGTTCCACTCTCAGTGCACTGAAAGCTGTCAATAAAGTGTGCTTTAATTTATCAAACACTCATTTTCCTGCCTTAATGTGTGATAACAGTACAGAGGTCAAAAGCATGGTCAAAAGTCTATACATGTGCTTAACCTTCAGAGCTAGTGATGTGTCAGTTCTCAGTTGCGAACGGGCCGGCTCAAAGAGCCGGCTCTTTTAAGTGAACAACGGGAGCTGGTTCGCCCCCGCGAACGAGCCGGTTTTTTGGTTTTTGTTGTTGTTAAGCAATACAAGACAGAATGATATGATGATCTCCGCGCTATGGTGGTTGGATGCTGCTGTTTTGAGCATTGCAATATATTTATTTTCACTGTTATTTATTTATGATTATCTTTAGGCTCAGCAAAGATTTGATGTCAGCTGTTGCTGTTTTTTTTTTTATATATAGTTAATACTGAAATAGAACCCTGCTGTTGTGTTAGGGCTTTTTCTTAAATACAATTTAAAAATGTCGATACAGTAGCTGTCCTTTTTTTAAATGTCTATGCTTAAGTTGTTATAAGCTAGGTGTTGCTATCTGCTTTGGGTAGCGTGGTTCTACAAGCAAGTCAGTGCATTCATTGGGTGGTATCAGCAAGGGTCTGTAAATTGAATGAAAACAATTGGCCACAGCAAATCATTTATATTAAAAATGTAATTTTTACTTTTGAATACTTCAGTACAAAGGATGTATTGAATACGTTAAGTGATATGTGTGTACAAATATAAATCATTTGTCAAAACAGGGCTACATTTGATTGAATTATAAAAGGTATATGTGGTCAAATGAAGAGCAGTTTGGGAGCCGAATGAGCCGGCTCTTCTTGGTTAGCCGAGCCAAATGATCCGGCTCACTGAAAAGAGCTGGAATTCCCATCACTATTCAGAACTACATTACCCAGGATTCCCTTCTGTGAAAGCCGTATATAAAATTGATTAACAACACTGTCGCAGTTTATTACGTGACATAATAGAGCAGGTGTGTTAGTACTTCTTCCTGATTTATACTCGCTTTAGAGTCTATTGACTGCAATTTGGATTATAAAATGGCGTGTCCTGCAAATCAGACAGGTAGGACAATGGTTAACATTTATAATATTATATTACACATATTAGAATCAATGTCAAATGTAGGTGCACGCTGCAATGTCGCAGGGATCAAATGATACCTTGCAGTAAGGTTACTACAAAATAATTCGGCAGCTTTTTAGAGCAATAATTTACAGAAAATGATCAAAGTGAAACGTTACATTACATATCAGTGAGCTTTAACAACCGAAAGTAGCTTACTTCCGTGATAGACTAAACCAACCAGGGACAGGTGGAGACGTTGTTTTAGTACTCTGACTTTTAAATGGGTTATGTTGTGGTCTGCGAATCAAAACGTCGCGAAATGTTTCTGTGATAAATGCGTGTTATTTGCAAAGTGTTACTTATATTATTGATATGAGTGTGGAACAAAACATTCACCTTCCTCTGAATTTACTGAAGAGTCTTCTTCTGGTTTCTGCCAAATGTCCTTCGCTCCATTGCCACCTACCGTTAGAATGGGAGAGCTGCAGCACACACAGTGTATATAGTGCATTTTTATTAGGACTCTTCCTTGTATCTAATTCACATTTTCTTCCCTCTCTGTTGCAGGAATATACGTTTAGGGGGCTCTTTTATTTCACATTCTGCAGTTACTTAAAAGCTCTGCCATGAAGGTTAACTTAACCATGTGTATACTGTTCAGATTCTGGTGACATTGTCCGCAAAATGTGTAAATCAAATACATTGGGATTACACCATTTAAATAATATAAAAAACGTACCTGAATAGGATGCAGTCCAGGCAACATTGTTATAACTATAGTAAGAGTTCTCGTTTCTATTCTACATTTCCAGCATAAAATGCAACAGTTGTTTTATGCTTTACATAAAATTGAATGACAAAAAAAGCCTACACTTTGATCAGAAGACATTTAGATACATTTAAACAAAAGGAAAAAATTGAATTAATGGAAAAATAAACGCTTTAAGGAGAAATGATTAAGAGTGTTTTGATTTGTTATCTTGGTGTTTTAAAGGTGTTACTCTGGTCTGTTTTTTCACTCCCAATTGTATAACATTGTGTTTGTTTGATTAAAAGTTCATTCAAAATTAATGACATGCTGAGTTACAGTATATTAGTGTGACATCACCCATCACCACCTGATATTGATTGAATTTGTTCTCTGTTTTCATGATTTTCATGATCAAGCGTTTGATGATATTATTTCATGATTATGGTGTTTTTTACCATCAGTGGAGTTGAACCAAGCCCTCCTCGCCCTCGACTGGCTTCTGGGTACCTGGGAGTCGGATGAACCTGGTGAGGGCAATTTTCCCTCCATAAAACCTTTCCACTACATAGAGACACTGAACTTCAGCCATGTGGGACAACCAGTCATCAACTTCACGTAGGTAACTGGGAGAATTTAGAAATATAACACTAAGCTGAAACATTTTGTGGCCCTCTCTGGTTTATTCTCTCAACTCTTTGTTTACATCTTACCTTAGGAAATGTGCATCCTGTTAACAGACTTTATGTTTTATTCATTTCTCGTTCTTATTTTGTTTGACAGGTTTAACGCCTTCCATGCAGAGACCAAAAAGCCCATGCACAGGGAGTGTGGTTTCATTCGAATGCAGCCGGGAACTAACAGAGTGGCGTTCATCATCGCACAAAACTCAGGTGGTTACATTCATGTTGCTGGATGTACCCTTGTTTTGTATGTACTTGTATTTCTGTTATATGTGGTAATCACTCAGATGTGCAAAGGCCTGATATGTAAGTGTTATCTGAGGGAATTTTAAGGTTAAATTGAATATATATAAATATAAGAGGTGACTTAAAGCATTAGTGAAGAGATATATTCCAGACATGACATAGAGAGATACATTTTTCTCATAAACTAAACTTAAAATTGTGCATATAGTGAATTTGTAAGCGCTAACTTCCTGTGACTTCACACATGTTTTGAGACCAGTGTGTCTTTATGTGCAGGTCTGGTGGAGATTGAGGAGGGGGATCTGACCGGGCAGCAGCTGAACCTTCAGAGCCAGGCGGTGGCCCGGACCTCCTTCGCCAGAGAGCCGTATGTGCAGAAGGTAAAACTGGTTCTCTGATCCTGCATTATTAATAATTCATATTAACTACTGCCCACACACAGTCCAAAGAGCATCAACAAAACATAACTTGTTTTATTCAATAAATTATTTATGCTTCCTTTTGTGCCGATGTCCTCGCCCGCACTCTTCAGATTTCTCGAGTGATTCAGCTCCGATCAGATGGGAGGCTGGAGCAGAGCGTTTCCATGGCAACAGACAACCAGCCTTTGATGCAGCACTTGCACATCACCTACCGTCGGTCATCATAACCCAACAGGCTGCTGGGCTTCTTATAATAGCAGTATTTTGGTCAGGAAAGACAAATGTTGCTGAAATGGGGCATGATGAAAAATCACTGTTAAGTCAACGAATCATTTAAAACAGCTTGGGGTAGGGTGTGTATTATTGCATTACATACAATAACTGAGAGTCAGGCATTACAGTGAGAAATGTGTAGAGTTATATTCAAAAATGTAAAAAGCCCTGTGGAGTTTTCTTATGAACAAACACACATTATGATTATATTCAGTTTCAAACACCGTGTGTGTGTTCATGAGGTTTAACAAAGCACATTTCCTTCCTCATAGAACAAGGTATTTCAAATACTCCATTTACAGCCATGGTAAAGAGCAACCTGTCTTCTTCTTCCCTGCATTTGCTGGCATTCTGCTGTATATCTCAGTACATTACCATCACCTGTAGATTACTGAAATAGAGTTAAACCAGAAACTACAGGTATAAAACTCCACTGGGACAATTTATTAAAAAATAAATTATTATTATTATTATTATTTGCACTTAATGGCCTTGGCTAAGTACGGATGCTTACGGTATATTTATATATATTGTCTGGATATTTATTCTTGGAGCTGGTCAGCTTATAAAGCACTGATGAACTAATGTTGTGCTGTGTTCTCATGTCTTGAACTTTCATTGCACTAAGTTACAATTGAAAGCTAAAGTAACTGCTGTCCTGCTGGAGTGAATGAAAAGGGTTGTGTGTAAAAGGTCAGTTATTCTTATGAGTGTTATTGTGGTTATGGTAAAGAGTGTCATTTATGTGTTTGTTTGGTTTATGTCTGTCAGTGGACAGGTTCATAAATATAGATGTTCTCACACGGGTTGCATTAAAAAGAAAAGTGATATGACTTATTTCATTTGACTTGTCTTCATTTATTTTAATAACTTAATGTTTTTAATCCTCTTGATCGCTTCTTGGACTTTTTTGGAGCATTTTATAGCCTTCAGTAAACGAGGGGGGGATTGCTGTGCTATGACTATGACATGCAACAAGAACCCACCTTTAAACCTCTGTGTCAAATCAGTGGGTAGTAGCATCAAAGAATAAACAAAGTAAGCAAAAGTGTTTAGATTTGTTAAGTTTATTATAGCTTTTTAGAAAAAACATTCAGACACACATTTATAAATTAACACTGAAAGTTACAACCATCAAGCATACCACACAATCGTCCTGGAGAGCCGTGGTCTTTATACTGCAGTGGCTTCAAGTCATATTCAATATAGAAAATAAAAATCATAGATACAACTTTATACAGATTTAAAAAAGGAATCAAGTTCACCAAAATATATGCATACAGTTCATACCATTCCTGTGTCCTTAAGTTCTTTGGCCAAAATGAGACCCAACATTTCTTGGTCAACGATGTGTGGAATTGCAGCAGCAGGTTTGTAGTATTTGGGAAGAGACACTGTGTGCTTTGGTGAAGTACAATAGTGTAAATCAAAGAAGTGATTGCTGTTGAAACACCTTAGCTTCATCATATGATAGCAGGCCTTTTCACACTCGGAAAACTCACGAGGCCCAGCCAGCTGAGCACAGATTTTCGTTTTAAATGAGGCTTTCACCTCAAAATATTAATTCAGGTTAATTCTCTGAGACAAACACCAAATCAAAGCATTGAACGTTTTATCTCAGGAGTGCAAAATACCTCACATTCAACCTGAACACCATCAGACTTTACAGTTACAACACTGGAGGTGTAAGCAGTGTGAAAGTATGCAGAAGAGGTGGAGTGACACAAACTTAATTCAATGCCATTTATGCTCGACTGACAACTCTTTGGATAAAGAGAAATCACTTATCGGAAACTGAGATGACACAAACACGATGCTGATGAAACATTTGTCGATGGTCATTCAGCAGACTGACATCTGCACGCAGGCACGAACTATCTCCGACCCACCCATTATGATTGAGTCTGAGATTTTGAATGTCATTTAAAACAATGATGATGACTCCTGTGCTGATTCATGGTTCCTTCATGATGTACACGTACATTGTAGTGAGGAAATATTTCAGGGACTCGATGGCAGACGACAGCCAGTGGTGCTTAGGGGTGAGATCCTTCTTCACCACACATTTCGTCATCTCCGCCTGATGAAAGGAAATTCATACTTTTAAAAAATGGACTACAAATACCTACACATATTTACTGTGTTTAAAAAAAAATCTAAATTCAAATATCATTTCCAGGAACCAGGTGAACTATCAGGGGAAAACCCTTCCCCAAAACACATTCAGGAACCAGGCTCCCTCCCTCACCCTCCAGTGGTGAAAATAAAGGCAAGACTTGGCTAACATGTTTTTATTATAACTATTCTCACAAAGTAAAGCTGAGGCTGATGAAAACGGTGTAAGTTGTGCAGCTATTAGTAAATTATCTGGTGAATTCAATTTGTATTTTTGAGTGACAGGTACATCACAAATTGTTCAGAGGTGAACTGACTTATTTTCCATATTTTTGTAATCATTGGGTTGCTGCCTTTTGTTTTAGTTTGCTTATATAAAACAAATGATTGACAGTATGTCTGATCTTATTTGAGCATGAAAACACTTATATAAGCACATTTTTGTACTCCTTTTTACCAAAAGAGGGCAATAGAAACAAATGAACTGCAAGTATTAGTATCAGATCAGCCAACAGGAAGCAACGGTATGTATGAAAAAGCTACATATTCAAACCCATAACTGGGCCTTTCTGAGCGAGCTTCTCATCTTAAGCCACTCCCCTCTGACTCAGAGCTTGTGAAAGCAAAGTGAGCTCTGATCCATGAACAAGATAACATTATCAGTCATCTAGCTTCAACAAACGTTTTTGCTAATTTAAACCCCAAAAACAAGATGTAAACAGTGCATTTCCCTCTTACTTTCTCAGATGTTAACTTGTTTGATATAAATGAAATATTTCCACCAAAAGTCTCAGTAACATCCTAATACAGCAGCATTCATCATATAAAGATCAGGGGAAAAGCTAGTTCACAAACAGGAACATTCCTGAAAATTGCACCTACCCATCCTCCCCGTCTCTTCAGCCAGGGAGCCAGGAACTTGCGGACGAACTGTCCCAGACTGTCCACTATGATGTGCACGGTGGTGGGGTAACCGCTTCGGACACAATCCACTGCCAGGGCTCCGGCTACTGCAAACATGGCCACCACCTTACCCCATGTTATACCTGCAGCAGAACAGAACACACATCACCCGGTTATGTTGTATGTGTTTTGTTTTACATCTATGAATAGAGAAGCTTTTCTGATAGGCATCTTTTTTTGCTTCAGATATTCATACAGTGATTTTGTCTTGCGGTCACACAGCAGTTGTTTGATAAGTAAGAAGCAAAAATATCTCACTACAATATCGTGAAGCCCTGAGCGTCTATCCTCCATGGAGACAGTGTTTCCTGACTGTTATCAATAAACTGCTTTATTTACACCAACATAAACACTTTGTTTTCCTGTTCTCTTGGGTGCAAATCCTAGTCAACACCCATCTACTCTGTGAACAAAAAAATAAGTTTGATCATTTAGATATTTTATTCAATTTGCTTTTCTTATTTATTGGCTTAATTTCAGTTAACTGTAAACTTAAATTGCATGACATTATGTTGACTGTAATAAATAACCTAATCTTTCATTTTTTCTTCCATCATCTGTTTTATTGTTATTACTTAAAACGTATGTTCTTTAATTGCCCAAATGCAAGTAAAACACATTTGTAATTTTGACCATTTAACTCCTGCTAATTTGAAATGAAACGACGTGTAATGTTGGTCACACCCCCATGTTTGTTACATTACTAAAATGCCCAGGAAGTGTGTTTCACGCTACATTAGGACTGCAATAAACTGCCTGTAATGGTGGTTGAAATAATGGCCTCAGTGTCACGTCTCCAAAAGAGGACAAAAATGAATGACCCGGTCTTAAGGTTACATATTCTGTGACCTGACATGAAGCAAGGGAGGCAGTTGGTGTACTTTGTACTGAAACAGACTGTAAATACGAGGTTTAAGTCAACAAACCAGTGCATTTGCTTTAATGTAACTGATAAGACGTCTTTCCAGCCAGTTATAAATTAAAAAGTGTGAGATTGTGTTGCCTTTGCATGGATGTGGGCGCAGTTTCTGCTATGGGGAGGTGGACGGGTTCAGAAATGATTTCGCATTCACCACTGAGAAGCAGAGTCATAAAGCTGAAAAATGAACATTCTTTGTCCCTCTTTCTACCTAAACAATCTGATAATTAATGGCATTGAGCCATTTCTGGGCTCAGTTTCCGTGGCAGCTGGGATGTTGTAACGACTTTCAGTGATGCAGTGCAGGGCCTAATGGCATTAGTCTCCTGAGGCCAGCATGCATTGTCATGGCTGACCTACAGTGTCAGGGGATAGAGCGAGCTCTGGCCAAGATTAAATGAGATAACTGTCGATGAAAGCTGTCAGAGGACGTCACATAACGCTCCCTACTGAGAAACAGGCCAAGAATAGAGACAAGATAGTCAGGGATAAACCTGGAGGAGGGCGGAAAGCGGAAGAACAGAAGTGGGAGGCAGGCAAAGATAGATGGATGAGAGACAAGCAGTGTTGATTTTACTGAGGGACACCACAGTGCAGATGGCCGCTTAACCGCCTCTCTAAAGAAACATGTGGTTTGATATGTAGATTCACTGGTTTATCCTTTATTGTGGTCATGTTAAGCACTTTCATAGTGAAGAATGACAGAGACATTTTATAGAGCAAATTCCGTACAGCGGGAGAAACAAGATGCATTTTTCTATTTATATTCAGGTTCCAACCCATCCCAGAAGGCTGGAGCAGCCTGGGTTCACTAGTTTGTTATTCTTCAGGAGGAATCCCACGCTTTTTCCAAAAATGTCATCCTTGTGACATCTAAACAAGGATAAGTTTAGCAATGCATGACAATTATAAAAAGCGGATACATTTTGTATCTTTCCTGGAAACATGACTATTTACACAGCGGCCAGACCCTCTAATCTCTCCCAAAGGCCCATACTGAGGACAGAAGGTCACTCTTTATTTGAATACTTCAAAATGTCAGTGGTACTTTATTTAGTGAACAAAGCAGATCTGTTGTCAAGACAACTTGAAACAAGTCCAAGAGCGAGCACACACAAGTCGAGACGTAACTAGACCAACCAAACCAAAGGCATCTCTCAAGACCAAGACTGAGGAAAGATCAGAACAATGGGACGTGAAGAGGAAATCGCAGGGTGTAGTTTAGTAAAGAAAAAATACATTATGGTTACTCTACCAAGTGACACAAATGCCGGATATCCGACCAACAACCAATTTCAGCGAGTTTAAATGCACTTTCCATCAACTTGTATAGGCTGTGGTACATTTGGATGATACTTCAACATGCTCACCTCCCATCTTTGTCAAAATACTCATCAAATATAATATGTATCAAAATATAACTTGATCCCTAGGACTGTAAGAAATATATATATATATATTGATAAAAGTAGGGTAAACTGACTGCCTAAAATATAACATGTAATTATTGTATTCATTTTAAAACCCTGCAAGCACATTCTATTGTACAGATTCAAGCAAATATAAAAGCTTTTGCGCCGATTGCACTAAAAGTAAACCTATGATGTTGGATGTTAAGGACTGTGATGGAACGCAGATTCCACCGTTTCAATTGCATAAACGTATACATATATGCAAATGGTGGTGTGTTCTTTATATTATGATGCATATCAGATATTTAGACCTGATTCAGGACCAAAAGTGGGCAGTTTTGTGTAAAGAAGAATATCTTAATGTTCTCAAAATAAGGCAGAATACTTTAATTCATGAAACTCCATACTCACAAACAAATCAGTGTCTA